GACTTTTTGCGCAATGAAAGGTGAAATGTAGGGGTAAAAATGCTAAAAATGAAAGGTAGGAACGTTTTGCACAATAATATTGAAAGGTAGGGACCTTTTCTGCTAATTATGCTAAAAATAAAAGGTAGGGACGTTTTGTATAATAACTTTGAAAGGTAGGGACCTTTTGTGCTAATTACCTTTTTGATTTAACGGAGCATTTTAACGGACAATTAACAGAAGGACGTTTTGCGCAAAAAAAAGGTAAAGGTAAGGGTGTAATCTGCCAAAAAATGAAAGGTAGGGACGTTTTCCACAAAAATATCGAAAGGTAGGGATGTTTTGTGCTAATTACCCTAATTAAAGGGATCACCGCTATTGAAGACACTTGACTCTTATTCGACTAAAGAATTTCTTAACTTCACAAAACATGTTTTCTATTCCAACAATCCCTTGCCAACAAAAATAACTCACATAACAAATTCAAGAAACTCATTCATTCACACCCCACTATGCAATTAATAATCAAACTTTCCTGGTAGGAACTTTTGATCCAAGTTGGCGGAACAATCACATTGGGGGGCTCTGAAACCAAGCGTGGGGAGCTCGATTCCTGGTGGGAACCTTTGATCCAATAAAGGAGGAATTATTGGTGGATTAATCACCATGGAGGAGGCTCCCTTTGGAGAATGAGTAAAAGCCATGTGGGAACCTGAGAACTAACAAGGGCACATCCTACGATTTACCTCCCTGAGCAGCTGAGGGACCGGAGGTTCAGGGACGAAGATATAGTCTGGCGCAAGTTGGGACACCTCGTTAAAATAATAATAATAATAATAATAATAATCAAACTTTCCACTCGATCTCCATGTCTCCACCATTAATAAACGAATTTTTCATGAACATTTCGAAATTATATAAAAAGGAAAAAAAAATCCCATAATTATTCATTTCTTTAACCAACTATTTTTAGGTTGTCAAAGGAAAAAAAAAAAAAAAATTACCATTTCAAAATTACATTTTTAAATAAAATGCCTGCCTATAAAAGAAAGAAATGGTCCGCATTATTTTGTCGCCCTAATTTTATCAGCTGCCCCTTCATCACCCCCTCACATTCATTATCACGTTTCTCCCGTCCGAAACCCAAAAACCCTGAAACTGCAGAATATCTATTCATGCCCAACGTGGATTTTGATACATCTATGTTTGTGTATTTTGGCACTGGATCTAAATTATAGCAATAATTTCATTGATACGTTGTATCAAGATCCAAGATTTGTTGATTTCACAAGGTATTGTTGTTTTAATTCACATTTATTTTATGGATGTTATTCTTTTTATTTGGCTGTTGGAATGAGGAGCTGATTTTGCATTTTCTGGATTTTTATGCAGTTTTTTATTTGGAATTTGATGGTTTTTGACAGACCAATCCGAGGGCTCTTCAGATGTTCAAATTTTGATTGAGAAAAATCGGTTAAATTTGTCGAATAGAAAATCTTTGTGGGATATGTCACTTTTACCAAAAAGCGAATCAATTCAGATTCGGGAGGTTTGGGCTGATAATCTGGACCAAGAATTTGCCCTAATTCGTGATATTGTCGATGATTACCCATATATTGCCATGGATACTGAGTTCCCTGGTATTGTAATCCGACCCGTGGGCAATTTCAAGAATTCCAGTGACTATCATTACCAAACTTTGAAAGCCAATGTGGATTTACTGAAGCTGATTCAGTTAGGGCTTACATTTTCGGATGACAAGGGAAATTTGCCCACCTGTGGAACAGACAAGTATTGCATTTGGCAATTCAATTTTCAGGAATTCAATCCAAATGAGGATGTATTTGCCAATGATTCGATTGAATTGTTGCACCAGAGTGGCATTGATTTCTCTAAGAATATCGAGAAGGGCATTGATGCCAAGCGATTTGGGGAGCTTTTGATGTCATCAGGGATTGTTTTAAACGATAATGTGTACTGGGTGACTTTCCATAGCGGCTATGATTTCGGGTATTTGCTCAAGCTCTTGACTTGCCAGAGCTTGCCTGATACACGGGAGGGGTTCTTTACTATGATCCATGTGTACTTTCCTGTGCTTTATGATATTAAGCATTTGATGAAGTTCTGTAACAGTCTACACGGGGGCTTGAATAAGCTGGCCGAGTTGTTGGAGGTGGAGAGAGTTGGGGTTTGCCACCAGGCGGGTTCGGATAGTTTGCTCACATCTTTTGCTTTTCAAAAGTTGAAGGAGAACTTTTTTAGTGGTTCTCTGGAGAAGTATTCAGGCGTGTTGTACGGTCTAGGTGTTGAGAATGGACATAATACAAACTGAGGATAGTGAAAAAGGTGAAAAAAAAAATAAAAATGAAATAATAGTTAATGTACTACGTTGTGTGGGCATATTTATAAGGATGCCACCCTTAGTATAATCTTGAAGTAAAGGTTGTTTATTTAATGAAATATTTCTTTATGCTGGTGTTTTATACCTCCTTTTATTCCTTGTTGTTGACATATTTTTCATATTTCTGCTTCAAGATTTATTGTTATGGTTCTCTTGATCAAGAAAACATCAATCAAAAAGCTGTTATTCTTGTTCAGGTTGAAGTTGGGAATTCTTGGTTCATGTCTATGTCTAAGACAGGATTTTTCCTCGGAATTTGGAAACATGTTGGATTGTGAGTGATTATGCAATGTGCCAAGGTGAATTCAAGATTACTTTATACGATCAAAACCTACATAAACCTTGAAGAAATGAACTGTCTTGAATTTTTTTCGAAGGAATTGACATTCTCAATTTTCTCAGCCAATATTTCATGTTCCGAAGGTTAATATTTTCATTTTTGAGCCTAGGAATCTTTTGGACTTGGTTGGATTTTATGATCAGTCGACTGGTTAGTTTTAATGCCTCGAGTGCCCTAATGAACAGATAAAGACATGCAACTTGAATTTTCGAAGGACACAGTCAAGAACTCAATATGCCTAGTTTGGATAAGCCTACTCATGTAGAAAACCAAAGAAGACATAAATCGAACACTTGTGGAAAAATCTATGCCTGGTACTTTCTATGAAGCAGTAGACACTACGAACTCTATCACGGTGAAACAACTAAGCAATATAACTTCTCCCTCTCAATTTTTTAGTCAGCATTTTGCTCCAGGTTTCTCGTTCTCGTTTTTTCGTTTTGTGTTTTCACCTGAAGGCCACTGGCCATATGACTCTGTCTCCAACCATTAACAGATTACGGTAATGTAACTAATAATCTATATCTAGAAACAAAAATCACTCAGGCTTCACAAAGACCTATCAAATTCACCCCAAAATAAAATATAAAAAGCATGGTTTAACAACATACCAAATTCAAATTCTCAGAGTGTTCAATCACAAAGCACTAAATTCTGTTCCAATGAAGAACAGTACATAGTCCAGCATTTTTTAAATAAACATGTCCCAACTTCACAGAAAACAACTGAAAGTAGTGGGGCAATCCTGTCCAATTTCGGCTTCTTCTTCCACAACTTTCCAAACTTTACTCTCCCAGCTGCTTCCTACCCATGAATAAAAGAAAAAAGAAGAAAATTTTGATTAGATATATTTCTCATAAATTCAGACTTCTTCGCATCTGCATGTTAATCTAGGATGCATGCACACAACATAATCGACACACTACAATACCCTGGTTAAGTACACACACACACATATATACACATGGAGAGAGAGAGAGAGAGGCACCAGAACTCATCTTTTGCGCTTGAGAGTCTTCAATTGCTTGAAGATGTAATTGATGACTTCCTTCAGCGTGGCCTTCCTATTTTCCTTGTAGTTCCACAGCTCAGGAACCACATACCGGCCACTTGGGTTGTATTCATTCATTTCATGGAAGGCTGTAGTAACTGCATCATAAATCTCGTCCCCCCATTCATCCTTAAGGTTTCTTAGCAATTCATCATCTTCATTCAATATTTCCTACAAGGTTTAGCAACCGTACACCAAGCATAAAGGCAAAGAGACTACCTTAGAATCTTAATTCACGTTCAAACAAAATTCAAAAGAACCAAAAATTTCAATAGGAATGATAGGGCGTTAATATCTTAAGTCTCCACAGATCTGCTAGAAATTTAAGCCTGCTGAAAGTGAAAAATTTTAAAAAATACAGACAGAAACGAACTCAGATCATTAACAACCAACCTGGGGATTTCCCTTATCATCTGTGGTGACTTTGACTGGGTACCATTGAGGATTTTTCAGTTTCTCTTGCCACAGGGAGCAAAGTTCGAGGGCCTTTATCTCAGCTTCTTCAGGTGGGAATCTCAGATTGCATGCATTCTTGAACGCTTTCTCATCAACTTCTCCCATCATCTTTAGCCCAATGTTAACGCGACTGCTACTTAGCATCTCACGCAAACTCTGAAAGGAAACAAGACAAATGGAATTATTCTTGGCATGATGACTAATTAATGACCTCAAAAGTAAAAAAGAAAAATTGGAAATATTCATAATGTCGGGACTAATCAATGACATAACTGGCAAGATGATATCAATTAGGAGACACCTCACCCACTACTTTGCTATCTGACTGATCTTTTCTGCACTGCATTATCACTTATATACAGCACTTAAACCATTGTTGAACAATTACGATCCCACTAATTTATTATCCCACTACATCTGTGCTGCAAGCTAGAAGATTTGATGACATGAAGATATCATACCGTTATTAGTTCTTTACGAGCCAGTTGTAGCTCGTCATTACTAGTGCGCTCCTTGACAGTTAGTTGTAGATTTAAATCTTCGAGATTATCCATTTCCTCAATTTTCTCCTCCAGTTGCTCATTCATCTCCTTTATCTTTTTCTGGACAGCTGCATCATCTTTTCCCAGATGCTTCATCACCTCTAGTTTTCCTTTTAACTCTTCAATTTCCATTTCTCGTTTTTGCTTCTCATCTAGATTCTTTTCTAACTCGAGAACCTTTTTCAGAGCTTCCTCTTTCTCTTTCTGCAAATTATATTAGTCAAAGTATATTAAAAAGTAATAGAACTTGCATTTGTAAGTAATGATAAATATGTAAATAAATGTGGGATACTAGCATGCACCTAATGGAGGGAGAAAAGACATGGCATTAAAAGGCACACCTTATGTTCTTCTGCTAGCCTTAAGACATTTTCATCAGCTTTTCTCTGCTCCTCCGAAGCCATTTGAAGTGCATTATTTCTCATATCATTCTGACAAAGACATAATTTTAGCATGATATGATAATCACCAATTAATTTTCATTACAATGTCGTAACTAGAAATAATTCGTCAGCTATGACCTTTCACATGAGATAATTTTAGCACGATGTGATAATCACCAATCAATTTTCATTACAATGTCATATCTAGAAATAAGTCATCAGCTATGACCTTTAACATGATATAGTATGAATGAATCACCTTTTTTTTCTCCTCTTCAAGTTTCAGTCTCTCGCGTTCCGTCAATGCCTCACGTTTGTTCAGTTCTTTACTCCAAGAATCAAGTCGTCTTTTTTTGTTTTCCAACTCTATGTTTAACGTCTCCTGTTCATCTAAAACTCTCCTTACACGCTCCCGTGAATCGCGTTGCAGCTTCCTTGTTTCTGAAAGAACACGACACTCAGAAACACGTCAATTACTATCAAAACCTGAGATAAAGAAAACTTAATAGATTGATCGGGGACAAATAATTGCCATTGTGCAGAAATCTATGCAGTATCTCAAAGAACATAATGCAGTATGAGATAAGAGGTGAACGACAAACCTTCATCGAAACGACGGTGAAGTATGTCTTTCTCTTGAAGCATCCTACTAAGGGACATTGCTCTTTCATTGTATTTGATCTGCAAGTGATCCAGATTTTCATTTTTCATGTCTATCTCATTGGCTAGATTAGCCACAATTTTTTCCTTGTCTTTAGCTGCTTCCTCAACAATGTCAGCGATCGTCTTTAACTCTCCATTTTTCCTAAGGTAATCTCCCACTGCCCCTTCTGAATTATAATCGTCTTCACGAGCAAACCAGCCATATACGTTTGAACCAGGAGAATTTCTACGCTCATCCCATTCTTTCTTACTATGACCATCAGCTTCAAAAAACTTCTCAAACAACATGACATTCTTAAACCCACTCCAATCATTATCAAATTGCAATACAGCTTGTGCTGTGCGCTCCTGTTGATCCCAGAAAATCTCAACCTTTAAAGGCTTGTACTTGGAAAACTTTTCCAACCAGTACCCACTGCTATCCACACACTGTTCATTGCCTGGCTCATTCAATATGTTATTAACTATTCCTGTCCAAGGCCAGCAGTACAAGTCATTCTGCTCAGACTTAACAGCAGGTGCAGGTGTAACCACATGCTGGGGAAGTGGTTCCGCCATCTCAGCTAGGTCAGTTTCCAAGTACTTAGCCAATGCAAGATGGTTTGCCTTTTGCTTTGCACTTCGGTTGGAGGAGCCTTTGCCTGCTCCAATGGCGTGTTGAAAAAGATGATTGTACTGGTAGTCTTGTTTTTTCTTTCCAGCACAGAAGGGGCACCTAAGGGTACCATTTCGGCCCTTCACTTTGTAAACACCGGCCTTCAGTTCCTCGTAAGGTTTTTCAACATATTCATTAATCTCTGAATCACTGATATCCGACTCTGAATCAGAACTGCTTCCCATCTGACTTGATAATATCAATGAAAGTCAGTCCAGCAAGAAGAAAATTGGCTTAACTGAATCAATATGATGGTGACAGCACAGGCCAAAAGGTGACAGCAAACTGAATCAATATGATGGTCTGAATGAAGCAGAGAGAAAAAAATGAAATTTAGAGTTGTTGCACAATAAACTTTGTGATGAAAAGAAAAAAATTTATATATAAACCAGCATCTAAACATCATGTAAGGTTACAACTTAAACAACTCTCAATGAGAGAAAAAAAACTCAATATGCAAAAGGTGGCAATTAAAGGAGAGTTCAGAGAGGCCTTGTTTAATTACAAAAGAATACCTAAGGGATACTTGAACGACCTACTTGAGACTGTAAACAAGACTGTAAAATGGGGGATATTATCCTTAGATCAACGTAATGGCACTTAGGTATCCATTCCATCTATTTAGGCATATTCAAACTTCATTTTTCACAACAAAAAAGATCCTTTCAGGTGGTTTCCGCCCAAAGAAGTCATTAGAGTCAGGTAATAACATTTTTGGCATCAATTACAAATCAACAAAATAAATTGAACAAATATAAAGAAATGTGGAGTTAAAAGAATAAAAATTCAAGAAAAAGAGAACAAAAAAGTCTTATACAGGCAGAGACCATGGTTCAAGGATTCTGTTTATGCTCATCCAAATGGGATGAGTTGCGCAAACCGGTCAATACATGGTCTTCTCTGACACTAGATTTGCTCCATTTACAACTTCTATCTAGATCAGGGCCAATTAGTTGAGTTATACCACCTGAACCAGGTAAATAGTCCACAAGGTTTAGTGTTTCTCATCACTAACAACACTTGTGTCAAAAACCGCTGCTTTACTTAGCCCCTTGTTACTATCGTAGCCACAGTTTGCCCAACTTCAACCGCACATTGTAAATATTAGTTCAAATTTGAGTTATAATTTTCTTTTCATTGTAATAGTTATTTCAATTATAAATAGCTCTGATATTAATAAACGTTTAGTATGATTCCTCGTCTTTTAATCGTCTACTCCTGTCACTTAGGTTTTTGTTTCGAATACTATTATATGAGGTATTAGTCATTCAAAAATTTTTAAAGCTCACTATAGTCCGCCCCCTGTACCAGTAATTGTAATTTTTTGCTTTCGTCAATTGTAATGTTCAGTTTTCATCAATCAATGTTCAATCTACTTTCAATATATTCAAATTCTCTGTTGTAAACTTTCTACAAAACTGTAATCAAATTTTCGTTCGTCCCGACGCGACCGAGAAAAGGTGGAAGGTAATCTAACGGAGCAGACTACTGCCACACGGTGTCCCTTTCTATGCCAAGAAGAAAGGCACCCCATGAAAGTTGATATCAGAGCTGCGACTCATGACCCTCGATAAGAAAGCTTTGGATCCAATTACATCCCACACCACTGAAGTGGGAGAGCCTCAAAAGAATAGTACTTCTAAACAGCGCGCGGATGCGCTTGATGAGACGACTACTAAGTTGTGTTATACCCTAGACGGCCTCGAGAAAAAAGTCGAGATGGCAGAATCCGAGATTTGTGGATTACACATCCAACAGGATGAAAGCCAACGGGCTTGCACAACAATGACTGAAGCTGCTGCAATCATTCCTGATCTACAGGATGAAATGGAAGCGTTGAGATCTCAATTGCGAGTACTCCAACGTGCGGTGGACAATGGGCAAGCTCTCGTACCTAAGTAGGCTCCTAGACTCAGAATTCCTGAACCGTGTAACTACGGAGGGGCACCTAATGCAAAAGAAGTCGAAAACTTCTTGTTTGACATGGAATAATACTTTCTCGCAGCTTCGATCGAAGACGAAGCTAGAAAGGTAACCACAACTACCATGTATCTGGGTGGAGATGCAAAACTATGGTGACGAATCAAATATGCTCATATTTAGCCCAACAGGGTCCGAATAAATTCTTGGGATCTCCTCAAAGAAACGATCAGATCGCAGTTTTTTCCGAAAAATCTTGAGTATCAGGCTCGACGGGCACTTTGAGACCTGAGACACACAAGCTCTATGGGGGAGTATGTGAAATCCTTTTCAGGGCATATGCAGAATATTCGA